GTCTGTCTTTTGTTTGGCTGGAAGCCCCAGGTGTGGGTTCAATTCCAGACCTGAAGGGCAGCTAAGGGCCATAGTCTCAGTGGTTCCACCAGGCTCTACCAGCAAACCTGGGCCCCCACCTTTTTTTTTTTTTGCCCAAATGATTTTGAGTTTTGTTCCACTTTGTTCTCCCTCTCTATCCAGGATCTCCTACATAGATACCCCTCCAAGTGGTTGACATTGGTAGCTGGGCACCATCTAGTTCTTCTGGTCTCATAGTCGTATAGGCTGTGGATCACATGGTGTACCAGTCACTAGGACTAATTGTTGCCATGAATCCTTGATTTTCTTCATTCTTCTTTGCTCTGGACAAGGAAAGACCCACTGTTGCATCTAGATGGCTGCTTGCAAGCTTTTAAGATCCCAGTTGCTACTTGCTAAAGTAGGAGGTAGAACAATGTCTTGTGTAGTATGTTGCGGTAGTTCAGTTGATGTGTCAACTTGGCTGGGCCTGGTTGAGTGGCTGGGCAGCTGGATGTAGTATTCCCCATGATGAGACTGGCAATCAACTCCATGGTAGAATCTACTGTGAGCAGATGAGTGGCTGCCTTAGGGAATGTGGTCTGCTTCCTGTATATAAGCAGAAGCCTTGGGGAATGATCTCTAGCTTATGGCACCTTGAACCCTGCATGTAACCATGTCATTCGTTGTTCAGCAGCCTGCCATGCTCTGCTGACCTTGGGACTTTCAGTGGACTTGAATTAATGGCCTGCTGTGTGATTTGGTAACATTGGGACTATGCCTTTTTACTTGTCAACCTTGGGCTTGTCAGCCTCAGCAGGCAGCAGCTGTCTGAGTGAAGAAAAGCCTCTAGCTTCAGTGGGTCAGGAGCTGGAGGCAGAGCTGAAGTCCAAGGCTGAGGGGCTTTTACCCAGCCCCCAGAGCCTGACATTTTGAACTTGGACTTAAAGCCTCCAAACTGTAAGAGAATAAACTCCTGTTTGTTAAGGCCATCCCATTTGTGGTATATTCATGTCAGAGCAGCACTAGCTAATCAGAACAATGTTATGCCAATTGAGCTTGATGTCCCCTGCAACTATGGTCCTGAGCCCACCAGTTCAACTAAGTCCCTCTGGGTAGCTGGCTGTGACCAAGAAGTGACTACAACCTTGTCCCTTATCAGCTCTACTATACACCTGGGAATTCTTACTGATCATACAAATACTTATAGGACCATTGTCTGCCAACCCTATACATGGTCTTGGGTACACTCCCCGCTTCACAGACATACCTGTTAGTTCAGCCTATCCACCCATCTATCCACCCATCTACCCGTGTTTGCCTTCACTGACAGCGCAGTACTGCATGTGCAAAAGAGTTCATCTTTGTTGTCTGTACCTCCCATGTACCTCTATCTTCCTCTTCCTCAATGCCACCATGGGGACCAACATTTATTTTTCCATGAAACAGGAGAGGATGGAAAATATCCAAGTGCATACCAAGTGTAAAAATATAACATTTTGTGAAGTTTCAATTTTAGGTGTGTGAGGTAATAATATAAAATGTACTTCTTACTGCAGCAGTCAGCAAGAGTAGGAGCTACTATACATATATATATATCGATACTGGAGCTCTGGTAGCATAGTGGCTAAGGCACTTGACTGTCACCAGAAGGTTGGCAGTTCAAACCCACCAGCCACTCCTCGGAAGGAAGGTTGGGCAATCCTACTTCCGTAGTGATACTGCCTCGGAAACCCAAGAAGGGGTCGCTATGAGGAGTCGACTATGAGTCGGGGCTGACTCGACGGCAAACAACAACAACCTATCACATGTAACTTGCATGTATTGTTTTCTTCTGAAACAATGAATCTAATACAAAAAGCAAAACAGTAAGACCTGGGTTCAATTCTACCTCTGCCATATTCTGCCATGTGACTCACATTCCCAGTTAGCTCTCCCTCACCGGGTTTATTTTCTTCATTTTTCTTCAACTGGAATTAAAAAAAAAAAAAAAAAAAAGCCCTTCCTCCCTCCCAGCATTATTGTGAAATCAAATGAGAGGACATGAGTGAAACTTGAGCCATAAACCATCCCAGGAGCCTGAGTATTCTTACTGCCTGGGCCACACACACACACACACAGAGTCTCGAAGCTGCTCATGTGTTTAAAATTATTCATGAGTTGCATTTGTGTGTTCGTCTTTTTTTTTTTTTTTCAATGACAGGATTATAGTTGAGATTCACAATTAGGATTAATGCCGCTGATACATTATCAATGTTAATGCCATCTATATAGACTTATTACCACATGTAAAGCTCTGTTCTAAGCACTTTGTATTTAGACCATATTGTCTCTCTTCATTTTCATAACAATCTGTAAGTAGGTGCAGTTATCATCCTGTTTGACAGATGAGAAAACTGAGACACGGAGAGCCCAGTCTTTTCTCTTTGGAGCTTTCCCTGGTTAGGGATCAGGAGCTCTAACCTTGCCAGAGCTCTGGTAGCAAAGTGGCTAAGGCACTTGACTGCTAACTAGAGGGCCGGTGGTTCAAACCCACCAGCTAGCTGCTCCTTGGAAGGAAGATGGGGCAATCTACTTCCATAGTGACACTGCCTTGGAAACCTAAGGAGAGGTCACTATGAGTCCGGTCCAATGGCGTATAACAACAACAGTCCCAGTTCACAGCTCACAGTTCACAATGGCCCCATGCTTGTTTCCCATCTCTTTTTTCTCTTCTATTCTTCCTCCCCTTTCTCCCTGCTTCAGGCATACTTCAGGTATACTTCACTCTGCTCTCGATCAACTCCTAACTCCCTACCATCACCAACAAATATGCTATCAGAAGGACTGAATCATGTCTTTGGAGATGGAAAAACAGACACCTCAGCCTCCTGCCTTTAGGACTAGATTGGGCGGAGTGACAGGACATAGATCAGTGAACTCTTTTCTCAGTTACTATCACAAGGAGAGGAGCTCTGGTGTTGCAGTAGTTAAGGCATTTCAACTGCTAACCAAGAGGCTGGCAGTTCCAACCCACCAGCTGCTCCACAGGAAGAAAATGGGGCAATCTATTTCTGTAAAGATTTACAACCTTGGCTAGAAGCTAAAATCACTCCTGCTAAGAGCCAAAATCAACTTGATGGCAGTGAGGTTTGTCACAAAGAGAGGAGCTTTGATGGTGCAGTGCTTAAACTACTGGGTTGCTAAAAAAAATGTCGACTGCTCAAACCCAATACCTGCTCTGTGGTAGAAAGATAAAGCGCTCGGCTTCCATAAAGACTTACAGTCTTAGAAACCCCATGGGATAGTTCTACTCTGTCCTCCAGGGTGGCTATGAGTTTGTCTTAGGATCACTGTGACTCAGAATCAACTCGATGGCAGTGGGTTTATTCATTTCTGGGTGTGGGTATCAACAGTGACAATAAACTACCTTTTGAGACTCCATCGGGGTGCTGCCTGGAAAATAGAGTTGCCCAGATGGGTAAATTAAAGCAGTGGGATCTTCCGGGCAGGCAGAGGTAGAGACAGATGACTGACAACAGCATCCCGAGGCTCCCGTGCTTGCATAGCCATTCCTGGGCCAGAGACGCTGGGTGAGAAACTTACCTTCTGAGAGCCTCAGGCTGCCCCTAAGAAAGGATGTCCCTGTACTATGTCCCTAAAAGTTTTGCCATGAGGCTAGATGAGATGCTGAGCGCAATGCTGCCCCCGACAAGTCACTACTTCTTAATTCAGTAGAGAGTCAAGCACATGGATCCACCCTGCATTGCAGGGTCTGATGAGGGAATGAGGGCCTGGGCTGAGACCCGGAGGCATGCTCTGGAAATCACTGTGACCCATGGCAGGCCGAGTCTGCACAGTCTCTCCCTTTTCTGACACATCTCAGGAAGGGCCAAACAGCTTTTCAAAACTAGATTTCCTTCCGTTTCTGTAAATTCTCACTTATCCCCATAATTAATACTTCTCACTGTCAACTATGCTGTAACAGAACATAAGCCTTGGACTCTTCCAGGGGCAAATAAATGACCTAGAAGTTTAAGAGGCGTCACGTAAGACCTGAACTACGGCTTGTATCTAAGTGCTGTGTAGTGTGGGCTCTGCCAGACACCGCCCCCACTCCGCTATCCACCAGATGGCCTGGACTTCCACCCTCCAGCTATTGAGAAATCATCACTAAAGCCTCCACCGTCACTATTTCCTGGGGTGGGAAGCTTCATCCCGCCAGGGGAAGCCCATGCTCTGCCTGTTCTACCCTCTAACTAAAAACGCAAACTGCGGGCCATAGGTGTGCCTCTGGCTGGCTAATCCTTCTAATATGAATGATCAAGCCAAAACGGGTGGCAGCTTTTAGGGACGCCTTCCCGGAGTCTCGCTTTGTGAGACTCTACTTTTTGTAGTTAAGGCCCAGATCAACTCCGCTCAGACACTGCTGTGCTGACACGCCCTGCCTGGCGGGGTTTCTGCAGAGGGCGACCGGAGTGTCAGACACCAAGCAGCAACCGAAGGTACTGCGCTAGTTGGAGACAGCCGTTTCGTTTCCCTCTCCCGCGCGAGAGGCAAGACGGATGAAGCCATTTTCGGCGGGGGCGGGGCAAAGGGAAGGAGCTCGCGCGCACCCAGCAGCGCGCGCTCTCGCTCTCAAAAAGGGCGGCCCGAGGCGCGCTCCCGACCGCAATGGCTCCTTCCGGTGTCAGTTTGTTCTCTACTCCCCTGCCTAACCAAATTGGCATTCTGGGTCGCCGTCATACGAAAGGGCACTGTAGAGGTCAAGTCACGAAGAAAGCGGGGCACTTGAAGTAGAGGGTAGGTAGCCAGTTCAAAGCAAGAGCATGTCCTTAGCAGCCTTCAAGCCGAGACAGCGAATCCACCTAACCTAGGAAAGCTCCAGGTAAACCCAGAGAGCGGCGTACGGAGGAAATTAAAACCACCACCTGGCCCTATCTTTCATCCCAGAGCCCAGCGCTTCACCCACTTATTTGTCGAGCACCAAGTGATGCAGCCCCTTTTTAGTGCTGTGGGTGGCTCTGAAAAGAGCCTTTGGATACGATGGAACGTCAAGCCTTGTACAGTTTAACTTAAGCCCGCTCTCCGCGAATGCGGCGGGCTAGCTGGATGTCCTTGGGCATGATGGTCACGCGCTTGGCGTGGATGGCGCACAAGTTAGTGTCTTCAAACAGCCCCACCAGGTAGGCCTCGCTCGCCTCCTGCAGCGCCATCACTGCCGAGCTCTGGAAGCGCAGGTCCGTCTTAAAGTCCTGCGCGATTTCGCGCACCAGCCGCTGGAAGGGCAGCTTGCGGATCAGCAGCTCCGTGGACTTCTGGTAGCGACGGATCTCCCGCAAGGCCACGGTGCCCGGCCGGTAGCGGTGGGGCTTCTTCACACCGCCAGTGGCTGGCGCACTTTTACGGGCAGCTTTGGTGGCCAGCTGCTTCCGCGGAGCCTTGCCTCCTGTCGACTTACGGGCAGTCTGCTTGGTGCGGGCCATGGCCAACCGCACTATTAACCAGCCAGCACAGTAGCAAAGAAAATTAACGGAGGGGCCGGCCGTGGCAGCAATCTTTATAGGCGCAGTCTCTCGGCGATTGGGTGGAAGGATAATTGAAAGTCCCGCGCTGACTATCCATTGGCTGTGACGTCATCGGTCCCGGCGCACCCTGCGGCTTCGGCTGACCGACCGCGCCTTCCCC